GTAATAAGCTATAGTGGACAATCAATACTTGAAGTTGTGTTTGAGAAGGGTTTTTAGATTCAGACATTCTTCTTGTTCTTCTCTTAAGTTGTCTATATATTTAAAGGAACGTGTATCATTGCTAAATGTTGACACTGATTGCTAAATGCTAAAATACACACACACAACTGCGACATAAATTCCATCCCTTGTTAGATATATTGTATTAACTAACATAAATATAGCTCTTGTTTGACAACCATTTTGTTTGAAAAATAATTTTTGAAATAGTGAGTGATGGAAGATTGTGTGGTTAAAAAGTAAGGAGAATTTTTGGGTTTATTTGTAATATTATTTTATTAATATAATGTGTGGTTGAAATGAAGAATGAGAAATAGAATGAGAAAAAAATGGGTGTCTGATAAGTACGTTTTACATACTTATTTTACTGTCAAAACATGAGCAATTGTTGATTAATATGTTGGAATATAGCTTAATTCTATGCAATTCATGTTTTACATGACAAGTGATGAATGTAAGGAAATAAGAAGAAACAATTGAAAAATGACCAGAATGGAAGAAAGTGAAAGTTCAGGGACTAAAGTACAAATACTCAAAAATTATGTCGGGACTCACGATGAAGGTTCGAGAGTGCTAAGGGTCGATTGGAAGCAATTAGAAGTCAAAAAGGAATGGAATATTATCAAAATCAATTTCCAATTCGCACAAGATATATTCCAGATTTTTAGCCGAAAATTGAGACCCATNTTCCAATTCGCACAAGATATATATCCAGATTTTTAACGGAAGATTGAGACCCATTTTTGGCATAGTAAAAGTTCGAATTGGAAAAGATCTATTTCTAACGAAGTTGTAGCTCTTTGAGTTACCTTTCCAACACATCTTGAATCATCTAAATCGGATATCAGAAGAAAAAGTTATAACCAAATTACTGACTGCTGTGTAGAGACAAAAAATCCGCGAGCGAAAGGAACTTTCCTTATTCGATTAAAACTCTTTTGAGAACCAATTTGGACGTGATTTTCAACCAATTTTGGCCTTCTATAAATACCTAACAGCAGAATACATTAGAGACAACTCTCA